TAGCTACGAGACGAGTCTCAAGCGTAGTCAGAAACGTGTGTATGCTTCGTGATCTCAAAGGTGACTACGAAGTCGTCTCTCGTGCCTGTTTCTTCTGTCGAGACGATGTCGGTACTTTATGTGACTGTATGAGGTTAAACTGTGACGAGAACTGTATAACAGAGACATGATGGGAGCAAAAAAGAGAGGAATGAGAGGGTGAACGTAGTCCTTACAGAATGAATTTGAGAAACTTGACTATGGTGGTGGTGGAGAGAGATCCACCAGGAGAAAGGAGGGTAGTAGCAGAGTCCGGACGATCAAGTTTATGGCGTGCACATTTATCAAGAGTACTCAAGGAAATAGATGAGTATGTGTAATTTGCGTGGGTGTACATGCAAAGCTGTTCATTTTAGTGTTATTTTCAAAATCAGTAAGTTGATTGTGACGTAGTGAGGTATGTGCGTAGGGGGTGAGGAGGTGGAGTAGGGTCTTTGCGGAACTGTACGGAGTTGTGGATGAGAAATTCTGAATTGCGTTGATGTGACGTCGGGGTCAATGTCCTCACAGGGGCTGGTTTTGTCGACGACCAGAGGAAGAAGTGCCTGTGGTCCGAGGGTGGGGTGGGAGAGGGCTGGTCGGACTTTACTGACGGAGTGGGGAGGAAGGGAGGACGACAGACGGGTCGTGAAGACCTTGAGCACTGCCTCTCTGGTTCGCCTGAGGGGCGCGGGCGAGTCTCTAGCTACGACTGCCGAGCGTTACTTCAGTCGGAGGTTTTATAGATGACAGCGTTTAACAAACAAGAGAGGTTGAATGACTCTGTGCCCCTCAGTATGGCACTGTTGAATGCTTGCTCATTTTAAATAAATCCTTCTTATTGAATGATTTTTTTTACGGTAGCCCCCCTGGTGACATTGGTGAGAAAAATTATTAATACGTGGCCACGTATTAATAATGCGTGGCCTACAAATGAGTTATTATGTTCCCACGCATTAGTAATTTGTGGGAACACAATAATTATTACGCAATAACTAAATCCAGATAGTCTATAGAAACTGATGACTGAGTGACAACACTACAGATGTAGCACCTCATTTCAGACAGTTTGAAACGCGAGGGCCGTGGCCGGCACGGGGTCTGCCCTCGCTCAAAGGAAAACCTCCAGCGTGACTTGAGACCGCCCCCTTGATAAATGTAATTATAATGAAGCCAGCTGCAATGGATCATGGACTCTGATACAGTACGGTAGATTTATGTCTGTAGGCTACTACTGTATAGCGGATCTTTGTTAAGATCCATATGTCACGGATAGGATCATACTATGTGCTAAATAAGAGGCATGTAATAATTTAGGCTACAAAACATCACCAAGTTTTTATTTAACAAAAGAATGTTGGTTAGTCCACAACTACTGTACAAAAAACATCAGGAAGCCCGCCGGCTCCAAAAACGAACGGGAGGAAATGCTCTCGATTTTTAATTCTAATTTAATCATCATCTTCACCACGATCATTTATGTTTATGTTCGCCGAATTTACATGAAAGCACTGACAAATATGAATATACTGTAGTCAACTTCATTAAAACGTTATTAACGTGCCTAAACTCAGTAATTCACTAAAAATATTTATATTTTAATGGAGCCTCGTCAGGCAGATCTAGGGTCCCGACGCGTAGCGGAGGGATCTTGAGTTTCCTCATTACAGAGCTCAATAATTATTGCGTGGCAACGCATTACTAATTTGTGGGAACATAATAACTAATTAGTGGCCACGCATTATTAATACGTGGCCACGTATTAATATTTTTCTCACCAATGTCACCAGGGGGGCTCCGTATAAATCTGTAGAGTATACAATAAACATAATACGTTAGAATACACAGCAATAGACCAACCTGCTTCTCAAACATTGGATACTACTGTAAGTTGTTACTTATTATTCACTATGACCTATAACAAAAATGAGTTTGAAGAATTGCTGAAAGCTTTCTATCTCCACAGGTGTTCCTCCAGGAGTTGTCAACATTGTTTTCGGCACCGGGCCAAAAGCAGGCGACGCCCTGGTCGGCCATCCTGACGTCCCATTGGTCTCCTTCACTGGCTCCACGGCCACTGCCCAGTACATCACAGAGCGGAGCGCCCCCTACTGTAAGAAGCTCTCTCTGGAGCTGGGAGGGAAAAACCCTGCCATTATTTTTGCTGACGCAGACCTGGACCGGTGCATCGAGACCACTGTTCGCTCCAGCTTCTCCAATCAGGTGAGAGAAGAGTGTTAGGAAGGGTTATCTGACTCTATTCAAGTTTTGAATTGTATTGCTGTCATTATTTTCTTTTGTATTACACATGCTTTTTTAAGGGGCTGGCACCAGTGTGTAAGCTAAACTTCAGGGGCTCCAAGAATGCCAATTCTTTGCTGCATAATTTGTAAATGTTTTTGGGATTATGCTCTAAATATATCCACTGACAGTGAAATAGTTATGGGTAATACTTGCTTTGATATGATGAGGATCTGTCTTTATGGGAATCTATGCGTCAAAAGCATTTTTTTGTAAACTAAATTACAGCTTTGTTTAGCTCATAATTTATTTCTATAGTTTTATTCTTATCATGTGTCCATGAGATAAATGCTTCAGTGACCAGACTTGTCCACATGGGGGAGATCACAGTCCATATGTTGTCATGAGGCAGCTGAATAACAACAACGTCCTGAACAATCTCAAGTTATCTTTCCGTTCCTTCCTTTCCTTAGGGGGAGATCTGCTTGTGCACCAGCAGGATTTATGTAGAGGGGAGTATTTACTCTGAGTTCCTGGAAAGGTTTGTGGCTGCGGCTAAGAAGTGGAAGACAGGTGCGCCCTCTGACCCCGGCAACGACAACGGAGCGCTCATCAGCAAAGAGCACCTGGAGAAGGTGATAATTACACATTCAAATGGTGTTGGATAAGGCTGCAACCCACAATAATTACATATTAACAATTACCTGCTAATTAGTTTCTTTTTGACTATAAAATGTCATAGAAAAGTCCAAGGGGGTTTCTCTAAATTGCTTGTTTTGTCAATCCGAAACCCCCAAAAGTCTCTATTTTATATCATATTAAATGTAGTAAAGCAAGAAATCTCCATATTTGAGAGGCTAAAGCAGCCATTTTGCATTAACATTTCCTTTGACGATGAATCACTTATCAAAATAATATCCAATTATGTTTCTGTTGTTTAACTAATCAATAAATCAACTCATACTTGCAGCTTTCGTGCAACAGAACAATTCCTCATTCTCTACATACCGTATCCACTTTCAATTTGAATCCGTTTGTCCCGGTCCCTAGGTCCGTAGCTTCGTAGCACTCGCCAAATCAGAAGGAGGCACGGTCCACTGTGGGGAGGGGGTGGATCAGCTCCACCTCCCTGAGCGCAACGCTAAAGGCTACTTTATGCCGGCCACCGTCATCTCAGGCATTTCTGACAGCTCCCGCGTCATGCAGGAGGAGATCTTCGGCCCCGTCACCTGCGTCTCCTCCTTTCACTCAGAGGAGGAGGCCGTTTCCAAGGGCAACGGCGTGCGCTATGGTCTGGCAGCCACCGTGTGGTCCCGGGACGTGGGGAAAGTTCACCGGATGGCCAGGAAGATACAGGCAGGCCTGGTGTGGACCAACTGCTGGCTGGTGAGGGATCTGAACCTGCCCTTCGGAGGGATGAAGAACTCTGGTGTGGGGAGGGAGGGGGGGAAGGACTCCTACCACTTCTTCACCGAGGTTAAGACCGTCACCGTCAAACACTGAGGGAGGAAAAAGAGATGGCTACCTTGATTGGAGAAAAGGTTTTCTAGTTAATCGTGACATTCATCAACTCCCCCCCCCACCCCCCACCCCGGATTACTGGAGCCTGTAATTAAGTCCCATCAGAGGAGGTTACAGAGGAATAAACATGCATCCAAAAACAATGTCAAGTAAAGAGGAAATGTATTACACTGCAAAACACTGTAATACCTTTTGTATTAGTTCATCCCTTAATATTCTAAACTGCCATATTCTACTGTGGAGCATTTTGGATGCATGGGGTGTGTTAGTGCTTCATATTTAAAAAAAAGGTGCTGAGCAAGTCGATAGCACAATTTATGAATTAAGTAACAGCAGCTTTAAACCACATTTTAAAGTTTAGACTGCAGGTCTGTCTCCTGCATGACAGTAAGTCATTCTGAAAAGAATGCATGCAGCACCAACACAGATAGAATGAATAGAAAAGCTTCTAGTTAAGCATGGTAAACAAGTGAGAGTTGGTACAGTGTGTGCCTCAGGAGAACCCAACCCAAAAAGCAAATCATTGTCAAATGTAATGTCCTGGTATTTCTTCAGCTTTTTTGTAACACCACATCAAATTAAAAGACTTTACACATTCAACATGCAGTTCAGTGTGTTTTTATCCTAACTTTCTAACATTATGGAATTGCTGTACTTAAATCTTCTTATTATCTGCATAAAACGTCTTTAAAATATATGTATATATATATATATATATGTAAACAGATCTGCATACAGGTCAACATTCAATGGGAAAGGTTTTGCTTTTTTTAATCAGCATACTTTGTACTTTTCATATGTCGTGGTGTTATCCTTTATGGCTGTGCACTTTGTCAAAGTCTGCTTGGTTATAGACAAGTTATACGTCACATAAACCCTTATCCATTCAGAAGTTAGTGATTTACATCAAGTTGTTTTTATGTCTGACCTGCTGACGTAAGAAAGGAGAATAAATGCCAAACTGTCATGTGCTGTGGTTGGACAACATGTTTGGAGAGTGGAATAGGAAAGTCAGCAAGCTAAGTGACTGTCAGACTGCATGCTAACATTAGCTAATGTTCCACTAATTCCACTAAGTACAGCTAAAACTGATGGGAATGTGATAATAGTTTTGCAGGTATTCAGTCTTAATCAAAGTATTGGTCAAATTGAAATACTCCTCAATCATGGGGATTGAATATCCGTACCAAATGTTATGCGAAACTATTCAATTGTATATTTTAAAGACTGGACCAAAGCTCTCCATATACAGTCTATGGACCAAAGTGGCAAACTGAAATCATACAAAATCTGACAATAGAAGTAACAGTTTAAAAGTGTATTTAGATTTATAATATATGATATTTAAATATCTTATAAAAAGCTTAAAATGATGGTCATGAACGACATGCTGGGAATGGCAGGAGTGGAGGGGTATTCAGCTGGTTGCAACCTTCATCCTCACTACTAGATGCCACTAAATCCCACACACTGTTAAGTAATGATCAACATCTGCCACCCACAGCCATCTTTACACCTTGTTTCTTCTCCTTCTGCTCATGTTTTTCTTGCATTTTCCAGCACATTACCCCTCCCCTCTTTGCCCCTGTTTAAACATATCTCATCACCTTGCTAAATATCTGATAACGGATTAATGCCGTGTGAGATGAGACTGAGGTGTGCAGGCAGCACATCATGCATGCATATGAGCACTCTGCTTCGTCTGAGGCACCGTGCCAGTTTAGGAAAAGAGGGTACACCAGAGACCCGCCCTATCCGTAATGCGAGTGTGTAAAATCACGTCCCCCTGGTGAGGTCTATGTGACATTTACCACAGAAGCAGTGTGTGTGTCCCACCCTCTGTGTTTTGGCTAGAGAATATGTATTGTGCTAAGTCACGCTGGGTGATTGCACACACACACACTGCTGTGCTGCCTTCCTTAAATATAGACTTGATGAAATGGATACCGTCCTAAAAACAGGTTAGGAGGTCTAAAGTATCGTGTGTTGTGGCACCAACCCACACACATATACCAAGGCAGTGTCTTGCAAACAGAATAGGAACAAAGTAACTCAGCAGCTTTTCCATTTTCCTCCATTTCCCCTCTTTTTCTTGATTTATCTCTCATCTTTGCCTCTTGTGGATGTTTCATTCAGAAGGAAAAAGCTAATTGAAACAGGTCTCGCCCTGCTGTACGTGACTTTGAGGACTCCGCCATTGGCTTAAGCCAAAACAAGTACTTTCACCTCACTTATTGGGCACAGGAAGAAATGAAAATAGAGCATATTTTAATTTTATAACTCTGAGGAAACTGCAATATCCATCCCGGCAGAATGAAAGGATCTGTTTTCATTCTAGCTGCAGGGACGTAATGGGCCTCCTGTAGAGGGCCTTCTCATTGATATATATGTGGAGATAACAGACACAGCCAACAGCCGTTTTCTCTCTTCTTTTGGACAAAACCCAGCTCAAAAAGTCTGTGAAATGCTATCTTTTTTTTACGTGTTTTAATTATAGAAGTACACACAGGAACATTTTATTTTCTATTGGGAATGGGGGAGGTGAATGTGTGTGTATTGAGAGAGATAAGGACAGATAACAAGAGAAAGAGCGACAGACGGAGAAATCCTATCCGGACTTGACCTAAAATCATTATGTTTCCTTGTGTCCCAGATTCAGGTAATAGACAGCTTTGTTTACATGTATTACTTAAACTAACACAATCTCCTCCAGTATGCCAATGCATCTGAAATCACAGTTCAAATAGCAGGCTTTTGCCTTCATTGAAAATAAAGGTATTTTCCTGGTCTTATGAGAAACAAAGCATAATGATATGGAGCAGTAGAAACAAAACCAACAATCAGTGGTTTCCAGCCTTCCAGTCTATTTCCTTATTCCTGGCTGTGGCATTTTCCGATTTTCTTCCTCTCCTGCTCTCTCTTTGAATGTCACAGAAAGTAGGCTTTCCCTATTTCACAACCACTTATTTCACCATGCTCCTGTCTCTCAAGGCCGTCAGCCACATTTAGGTTCAGGGAATTTCCCACAGCGTGCGGCATGGGTTTTGTGATAGATAAGCCCTGAGATGAAGCTCAGTCCTGAGAAAATGCTGCAGTTCAAGCAGGTTAAGCAAACTCAGCTTGGAAGAGGGAGAAAAAGTAACTTGGCAACAGAAAGATAAATGTTTCAGCCTCATGACAAACCCATTTAAACGAAGAATCAGTCTGAAATGACAGCTAAGGCTGAAGTGACATGCATTATCTACATTTCAAAGAACATAAGGACATGAGTGATGGAATGAGTAATGGGTCAGATACTTACCATCCTTCCCTGCTTTTCACAAATGTACTCGTACATTCATATTTGTTTTTGGTTGAGAGCCTGCATTCTATAAGTTACTCTGTGTTGCACTCACATGGTATCTCAAGTCTTGTCAGGCTAATGTTGACAATTTGGCTAACAGGCTAATATGATTCTGAAGAACATCACTGCACTGTCGCTGCCAAAATGTCTTGGCATAGTCTTCCTGACAAATGAAGTGAGGGATTTGTTTATTATGATTATATATTAATTACAGCGTTATGCTTTTCTCTATCTGTGAGGACTGCATTTTTGTTGGCCAGTAATTGAATAAAGAGTCCCATTTTATCTGTTGGCAGAAATCCAAAATAAAGCTTATTTTCCCCATATTGTGTAAATGTAGCATATGACACTTATTGGATTATTTCCACTACTGTGCTTTTTTTTATTTCCCCCGAGGAGCAGGCTGCATTTTTTTTTTTTGCATTTATTAACTACACTTGTTTGAAAGTGCATGAATGCCAACGGGTTATACAGTATAGGAAGCCTTTGGCTCTTTTGAACTTTTATCAACAATTGAAGTGAGACAGTCCTCTTCCTGTTGCGATAGATGCTCTTGAGTGCTGCATGTTCTGAGCCAAATCACACCAATGTGGAAAAAGAAAAAAGAGCAAAGGGATGATACTTTGATTTGGTTTAAATGGAGCAAAGTGTCAGAAAGCCCCAGGTCACGTATGACAGCATGTCCAAAATTATTGGTCTTTGTATTGGGTTTTACCAATCCTTCCTCACACTAGATAGCAAAGTGACATTGGAATAAGATAATGTTTGATTTCAGGGAAGATGAGTAAAATAGGTTGGTAACCACAGGATACTTTTGTGCAAGAATTATGACATATTTTAGGGTTTAAAACATATGAAGCATAACTAATACAATGTAGACTGTTGAGAAGATAATAATGTTACACCTCTTGTCTAAATATGGCTATAAAATGCAAGCACACTTTCAGTCATTACAATTCAGCTCCCCAGACAGCAATGATTCATGCTTGAATAAATAGTTCCTCTAACTTGAAGTGGTTCCCGCTCATTATCTTTCGAGTATTTTACCTTCGGGAATACTTCTCACCCATTTAGGAAGAGCTCATTCTCTCAATAACATAACACAGGTACGGTTCGCTCCGAGGAGATTACACTGAGCTCAGTGACGTTTGTGCTCTTGCTATCATATCGTTGTCCTTTAGGTGCCTGAAAACTAATGAACCACTGAAGAGGGATGACCTTTTTATTGTCCTTTGCACTCAGCACAGGATGTGCTTTTGCTGCACCGTTTGCTCATTTACATTGCAGAGGACGTCACCATACTGAGGCTGTTTCCGTAAGAGAAGTGTTCAGTACATAGCATTGTGTAATTTACGCAGACACAGGAGGACACAAAACCTTAGTCAACCACAGCAGGGCAAACAACATAGAAATCAACTCAGAATGGAAATATGAGATGTTAACAAAGGTGTGTTTACTAATACAATGCTCAGTCTGAAATAGAGTCCAGAAAAGAAATCATTATACAATATTGTGACTTTTCTGATTAACCTTCACTGAATTATAGGTGACCCACTGCATGCTGTTGTTTTTCTTCCATGCCACTTAATATTTGCCATTATTAATGCTTTAGAAAAACAAAGACAATTATAAATAAATATCGAAGAAAGATGGCAACAGCAGAAACAGCTAATTAATATGTGACTTGAACGTTCGCCACGTCAAAATGCATTTCAATATTCCATTTAATGCATCAACATTTTTTGACCAAGGCAAAAACCTCCTAGAGTGAGTGTGGAAACCTTTTTTACACAATTAACTAAACATTTTCAAATGTCACAGTTTCTATACAGCCTCTCCAATGCAATACATGTTTATGGAAATATAGCTATAGATGCAAAACTAAAGAATGTGAATCGTTGGAAGACACCCTTTAAGTTAAAAGACTCTATTTAATTGTCCTTGAGCAAGACATTGACTGCCAATCAACTGTTCGGTCCTTCTGATATCATTATGCACCAATTGTGTTTTTAGAGAACTGTTTTGTAGCATCTTGCTTTTATTTCTAAAAGATGACCCAAGGCTGGACTTTTCAGACATTGTTGTAATGGCATATGCGGAAACATCCTGGAAGGCACTCCAGCACCACTTTCTTGTGATATTCTGAAGAACCAATATTCTTTGTCAGATTTGTTGAGGTTTTCATTCCAACATCAACCTGTTGACCAATGTTTGTTTATGTAACCTGCTCTCCAGCTAAAGCCCAGTGGCACAAGGT